GGGCGAACAGAACGGCGAAGGGAGCCGAAGGGAGGAGGCGCCGCTGTTATGTGCAGGGCATCCGACAGCGGCCGCCGTCGGAAGTGAGAGCCGCAGGCGGAAAGGGAGATGGGGACGTGGGGAGGGAGGGAGAGAGGGAGAAAGAAAGAAAAGCAAGGGGAGGATGGCACTGTGACAGCAGCGGGGGATGGGGGGAAAGCTGGCCAGATCGCCTGGCGCCAGAGGAGTGTGACGCAGGAGCCCCCTTTTGTCTGGGGGCCTCTTCCCGCCTCCTCGGGTCTACCTGGAAGGACTGGGGCCGGGGCGGGCTAGAAGTGGGGGGGGAGGGGGGGGGGGGGGGGGGGAGCGCGCCCCTTCTCACCCATTTCCTTAGGATGCCGGGGGAGGGGGGAGCCTCCTGTACACTTGAAGATTGCTTACCATAGCGCGAGCTGATAATGCACCCGTAGGGAGAGAAAGCGAGAGGGGAGGACCCCACGTCCCCCCGGACGCCAGTGTCAGGGACCGGGAGGCGGGGATGTTTCCCGCGCGTCGTCGGCCCTCGCGCCGTCGGTCCCCCTGGGCCTCGACCTCCGCTTGCGGGGCCCGGAGGTGGGGGCGCGGACCTTGTCACGGCTGGCGCTGGGAAAGACGGCCAACACGGCCAAGACGGCCGAGGCACTTCGAGCAACTTCCAACCCACGGGACTGCAGGTGGAGAGCGGGGATGAGCTCGGGGAGGGACACGGGCGGCCTGAGCGCGAGAACGAGAGAGAGAGAGAGAGAGAGAGAGAGAGAGAGAGAGGACTGAAGGGAGGCAGGAATATGCGCGAAGGCTAATATGGGTGGTGGCACGATCAACTGGCTCAATTGGGCACTGGGCGTGTGCCGGCACATGCACAGCCAATCGGACCTCTCGCTGGAGTCGCTGTCGGGCCCCGTCCCGATGCGGGTGAGCCTGCGCTATCGGCTGTATGCAAACGTCAGCTTGTGCGAGGCGAGTGGGTGGCAGGAATCGGGAGGGCTCATCGAGCGAAAGACAGCCACAGAGCGGGACAGAGAGCGACCCGAGAGAGATAGAGAGAGAGAGAGAGAGAGCCGGGGGAGGGGGAAACAACGCCAGCCAGACATGCACGCGCGGCCGAAGACAGGAGAGATCTCCGAGACGGCTGGGCGAAACACCCAGCCGGAGGGGCTCCCGATACTAATGGCCGCGGAAAAACAAAGCCCAGCTCCACACGGACGTGCCGCGGAGGCCATGTCATGTGGTCGGAATGCACATGGCCCGCCTACATCGTCGTGACATGCGCAGCCCCGCGATCTCGCGCCATCTCGGCACCGGTCCAAGCTCCCCCTCTCTCCACCGCCCGCACTCCTGGGGACCTCCGGTCCTAGAGGGAGAGACCAATCGATGCCCCCCCCCCCCCCCCCCCCAGGATGTGGCCCAGAACGTGTCTCGGCGGCCGGCCCCTCCTCATTCGGCAGCCCCTTCTCCCCGGGACAACGAGGGCAGGGAGATTGGCCACCGCCTTGAAAGCAGGCATCAGGACTCCTCCCTACTGCCCTGCCTCCTTGCTCCACACACCCCCCCCCCTGTACACCACCTTGCATCCTTTCCTGCGCGTGACGGCTGTCCCATCCCCCGGGCGTCCCCCCTTTTTCGCACACCACCCACACTCTCTTTCGCATCGTCGCCACTCAGACACACTAGGAAGGAACTCTCCCCGCAATATGTCGGCCATACTTGCAGGCATCTCCACTGGTACGCCTTTCGCCCTTCGTCTCGAGGAGGAGCTAGAGCCTCTTGCAAGACTCCCCTCCCCCCCCCCCCCCCCCCCCACGCACACACGCACACACGCCGTCCAACTACTCGCCTTCTGACATCACCGGTCTCAGCGCTCGGCGTTCACTTTGCTCTCAAGGTCCGGCAGCGCGAGCTTGCCCAGCACGGCACCCGGGTATGTTTCAACTCGATCGGCCTCCCACACGCCCATGCGGTGTTACTCACTCCTCGCTCTGTAGAGTCTCCCTGTGTTCGCTCGAAATGTGGCCCTCTTTTCGGCGGCCACCTTCACGGCGGGTTACTTTGGCATCAAGATTTTGAACAAGCTCCTGATGTCCCGGCACTCCTTCAAGACAAATGACACCGACAGCTTCCCCTCCGATGAGTAGGGAAGCCCGTATGTCGTCCCCGTTGCTCTGTCCCGTGTCCGCCGCCCCCTTCGGCTGGCGGACGGTGCGGGGCAACGGATATACACCCACGCCTGGTGTGCAGGTGCAAAATGCGAGAAAAAATAGACATAAAATCACCCTTTCAACGCACCACCTCCCCCCTCCCATCCCGGTGTCTTGCAACCCCCCCCCCCCGCACGTAAAAGAACACACCAATGAGACATTATGTATATATATTTTTGGACGATTGAGATAGGGGGGGGGGAGCGCGCCCTGCGACATGTGCGGCGTCCCGATTTCTGCCCTCACCCACCCCTCGCTCCACCTGTGCACATGTGTGGACAGACTTCGAGGCAGGGAGAGGGAGGGGCGGCGGAGACACACGCAGGCGCAGCGGGAGAGGAGGGAGAGGGGGGGAACGGGGACAGGGCGAGGAAAAGGACAACAAGGAGTATCAAAGGTTGGCTTAAAGAGGGAGAGGGGAGGAGGGGCAAAGGAGGGAGGAAAGAAGCAGATGGGGGGCACACCGGCGGCACGCACGTGCGCCACCGCCACCACCGCCGCCGCCGCCGCCCGCGCCCCCCGCCTCACCCCCAGTTTAATGTATGGGACAAGTACTACTGGACAGGGGGGGGGGGAGAGAGAAAGGAGGGGAAAGGAAGGCGGCTGCTGGAAGCGCGCATAGATCTCAGGGGGGGGGGGAAGCGAGAAAGACAACACCACACCCGCGCACTTAGTGACGGTTGCCGTGAGAGGAGGAGGAGCCCTGGCTGCCGTTGGCGGCGCCAGCACCAGCACGCAGGGTGGTGGTGTTGATGTTGACCGAGAGGAGCTGCTCATCCAGGGAGGAGATCTGGCGCAGGAAGTACTGCGAGTGGTTGGCCGCCGGCTTGACCTCGCTGATGTGGACGATGTCGTCGATGACATGGAAGTCCACATCGGAGTAGGAGACGGTGGAGCCCTGGGTGCTGCGGGTCTTGTGCTTGTAGTTCAGCAGGTAGGAGCGGACCTCCGACTCGTCGGCCTCGAGGAAGGAGGCCAGCTTGGAGATGGTCAGGGAGGTGTACAGGCGCAGGTAGCTGCGGACCTTCGGCACGAGGAGCTGCTGGCGGATGTCGCGCATGAACATGCGCTGGGGGATGGACACCTCGACCTGCTTGCTGGCCATGGCGGCCATGGCCTGCTCCGGGGTGGGCAGGATGTAGGTGATGAAGCGGGGGCTGGCGTTCTTGAACCACTCCTCGAAGACCTTCTCGTTAC